TTTTTTTTTTTTTTTTTTTTTTTTTTTTTTTTTTTTTTTTTTTTTTTTTTTTTTTGTTTAAGCATATTATATTTTGAGATATTTATGTATATAGTATTATATGTTAAAATAATTGAAATATTATTGTGGATTTATTCTGACTTATATTAACATTGCTGAGTTATTTAGAACACTTCACTCTTTGGTATCAAGTACTGGCTTTCTAGCTTTCTCTCTCTCACTCTCTCTGTCCCTCTCTCTCTCTCTCTCTCTCTCTCTCTTTCTCTCCTTCTGCTGTCAGCTGAGCTGAGTTCAGTTTCGTTTTTAGCAAAGCAACGTGTCTAAAATAACACTCTACCTGTCTTCATTTCATTAAACAACACATCTGGTTTTATTTTTTTATAAATTTCAGTCCAAACGCCTCTTTGTAATATCGCTTTGGCTACAGCATTTCCAAGTCGTTTGCACCCTTATCTTTTTAATTGACATTTAAATGCGTATTTTCTGACACAGTGACTGTTACATCCGTGTTACCAAAAACACACGCAAGCAGCAATACCACCCACTCCTGCACCTACCCCTACCCCTAGCCCCTACCCCTCTGTAGTTTGTCATTTATAAACACACAACAACACAAAATCAACCTTTTTTTTAGGTGTTGAATATTACCGCAGGGCGCAACAGTCACACGACCGCAAACCCCAAGCCCGCTCGCTCCTTGGTCAAGCAAAGAAATGTAAACAACGAAATGGAACAGAAAAAAAAAAATTCCACGCTTCGGCAAGTTTTGGGCCACCCTAAAATATAAGAGCCACCCACATGCGACATTAAACCCTCAGAATGTGCGCATTGAACACATTTTGGCTGAACTTCCAGTTTCATTTGTCCTTACGTTTATTTTTATTTTATTTTATTTCTGTTTTTTGTGTTGCTTGCGTGTTGATTTTCGGTATCCAGCCATAAGTGCCACGCCTGCCCGCCCCCAGAATTTTTTTTGTTATATATATTTTCATTGCTAAAATAACATTGACATGCGTCTTGCTCGGCTAACCCTCCGGCCAGCCACATCCCACATGCCACATGCCGCATGCCACATGCAACACGTTCGCGCCGCTCGATTCCGAACTCAGGGTTCGAATCGCAGTTTCCTGCTTGGTCCTGTTCGACCCAGCCCCATGCCAATTCGATTTACAGCGTCGACTTTGTGCAACGTCTGCTGCATGACATGCAACTCTTGCCTCGAGCTGTAAATTTGTTGCTGTTGTTGCGTTTGTTGTTGTCATGTTGCAATCAACAGCAGCAGCAGCAGCAACAACAGCAGCAGCAACACAAACAACAACAAGCAACAATCCTTATTTAATAACGTTTCAATATTCCAACACTCTCTGACATATCAATTTTCAAAACCCGCTTACAGCAACAGTTACAGCTGCAGATACATCTGTGTATCTATAAGATATAAATGTATCTATGGCTACAAAAGTTTTGCTGTTGCTCTTGGGGTGCTGTGCGTGTGTGACAGCAAATTGTTGATATATACGACACGAAAATTGAAATTTATGTTTTTGCAACTGACATATTGCTTATGGCCAAGCATAACGAACTACAATAAAATATAAACTTTCTTTTGCTTTGCCTCGACTTGCCTTGAACGCACTTTAAAGATCTGCTTTTTGGCTTATGATAAATTTATCAGCTTTAAGCGGGATAATCTTTGTTTAACTCGGGTCTAATACGTTTTGCAATTGATTGATTTAAATAAGTTACTGATAGGCCGAAGACCCAAGTTGATACTGCCTAATTTTTATACCCTGAACCCATTGAAAATGGGAAATCAGGGTATAATGGTTTTGTGAAAAGTATGTAACAGGCAGAAGGAATCATSRMAGACCCCATAAAGTATATATATTCTTGATCAGGACGACGAGCTGAGTCGATATAGCCCTGTCCGTCTGTCCGTCCGTCCGTCCGTCCGTCCGTCCGTCCGTCCGTCCGTATGAGCAAAAGGATCTCAGAAGATATAAGAGCTAGAGAGCTGAAATTTGGCAAGCATACTCGTGTATACCATAGGCAGTACAAGTTTGCTTTATTTTTTCGATAACTCATCCGATAACTTTTTTATCGAGAATAATCGAAAAATCGACAATGTTTTTTCAGCTTATTTTGAACACTTTTAGACCTGGAGACTTCAAATTTGCGTTGTATATAAAGTTAATGGATACAAAGATTTTGTAATTTACAGATTTTGGATACCACGCCCCCTTCGCCCCCAATTTGTAAAAAACGCATTTCAAGTACTAGAGACTTGTGCTTTGAAATGTACACACATTTAAGCCATATGATTACGCTCTAAAAGTTTCATTAAGATCGTATGTCTACAAAAGAAATTATTCAACAAATAAATTCTCGTTATATTGCCCACACTGCAGTGCAGCCCAAGCGCAGCCGCTGCTAGCTGCGCAGTTTGCAAAGCGCGTGCTTATACGTGCATGTGTATGTATGTGTGCATAAAAGAAGTCCAGAATGATTAGAATATCAGTTTGGAGGGTTCAGGGTATCTCCTAGTCGAGCAGTCTCGACTGGAGCCTTCTTACTTGTTGTAACTTAGTTTTAATCTGGCATTAATTGTAAACTCTAATAAATTAAATACTTAAATGGTTTATAGAGATTTAGGCATTTTTGTATAATAGCTGAGCATAGCTATAAACCCATAGAGCTTTGAATATTATGCGAGACTAACGGAAAAAGTCTGTGTGTTCTATTGCCTTGAATACTTTTAGTATAGATTAAATTACTTAAAAGATGCATTAAAATAAAAAAGCAATATTAAATATGATTTTTTTTTAATTAATTATATACTTTAGATATTATATGAGTTTTAAATATATTCAATATTTACATATAAAATTGAAGAATATTTTAATTTTAAAATCAAATTAATAAGATTCACTCCTTTGCACAATAATCTACCCTAATTTGCCTTTGAAAAACACAGATCAATGATTCAAGCATTTCAAAATGAAATAAATAATATATAAAATACATCTGAAACCTATCGAATCTAAACGAAATTTGCATTATTGACTCGTTTAACTGTTGCCATAATATATTATTCAACATTATTATTACAATTCCCAATTGCAATTTCAAATGAATAGACGAAAAGGCAATGTTTTTATTACAGATAGTATTTATTCAGGCTGTCGCTGCAAATCAAACACAGGCTTTATTTATTTGCCTTTGTCAGAGCGTGGTGCAGTCAACTGGAACTATGCTAATCCTCGGCTTAGTTCAGTTATCTCTCTCTCTCTCTCTCTTGCTCTATCTCACTGTATCTCTTTCGCCCTCTTCAGGTTAATTTAGCAGTTTTTGCATAAACAAAAAACTACTTAACTGCTAAGCTGAGCTGGGCTCTATGCGGTTCTTCTTCTTTGCCGCATATGCAAATCCACACAAATTAATTCCGAAATGAACCTTTGAACAGGTTCCTCCTCCTGCAACTGCTCGTCCTTCTCCTCATCCTGCTGCTGCCGCAGTGCGACAGTTGAATTGCGACTGCAACTTCATTTGCAACGTCAACGGCAATGCGCATTAACATTGTTTTCATTTTGCCAGCGAGATCTTTTAACATTTGCCAAACCGCTGACGAGCACAACTCTCGACTCTGTCGACTCTGCCGACACTGACGCAGCGGAAAAAGGAAATGCCCCGCCCACCCACAGGCAGCGGCTCTGTGTCCCTTGCAATTTGTATAAAAAGCGCTTTAACCTCTTCATTGCTCAGTCCAATAGCTCATCTACCTCTTCGCATCTCATCTCTGCTCTTCTCTTCTCTTCCCTTTCATCTCAGGCTCACATCCGCCGCGAATAGTGGAACACCCCATAGATACGACCGTGCCGCGACACGAGCCCGCAACGCTTAATTGCAAGGCAGAGGGCTCGCCCACGCCCACAATTCAGTGGTACAAGGATGGCGTACCACTCAAGATACTGCCCGGATCGCACCGCATCACCCTGCCGGCGGGCGGATTGTTTTTCCTCAAGGTAAGTTCTGTCCCAGCAATGTAAATTATGCGACAGTCTGAATGGAGTTGCTCTCACGGGAGTGGGAGACTCCTGCTGGAGTAAAAGATTGCAATGAAGATGTTTAGCTAACATTATTTTCGAAATATATACAGATAATATAAGTAATGGGATGATAATGGAAATATTTTTAATTAATGCTAAAAATATGAAATATGTTTTATAAGACTCTTACTATTTAAATAAATGAAGTAAATGAAGAAATGAAGAAATGAATGTAGAAATGGCCTCAAGATAATGAAAATATTATAAAGGAATGCCATAAAAATTCTTATCTATTTGTTTATATTAT